CCACCTCTCAGGCAGTACTGGCCTCTACTGCCCAGTATCTGCCTTGTGGCCTTGCCCTCCCCGGAGACTGCCTCTCTGCTTGTCCCCTACCTCACCTGCTGCTTCAACATCTGGGAGAATTTCCTAGCCCCCATCCTCCCCACAGACTCAAATCTGTCTTAAGGGGAGAAGGTTTTGGTGACCCCCATCGCTGCCTAGTGTGAAGGTTGCTGGACTGGACCACATGAGCTGGGCTCCCCCTGATCACCTTCCTCAGGTACTGCACAACCCGCATATCACATGACCCCAGTCACCTTCCTCAGGTACTGCTAAGCCGCATGTCACATGATTCCAGTTATGGTCAGCAGAAGGCAGAAAATTGGGTCATCAATACCATTTCCTTAGCCAGATCTGTCAGGGACTGACACACTGCAGCCCCCAAACAGGAAAGCCCCCAATACCTTCATTGCAGGCTGTGGTCTGTTGGAGTCCAGCTCTCGCAGGTCCAGGGATTTGGAAGGAGACACGGAGTCTGCGAAGTGAAAGTAAATCATGGAATCTCCGCTTAGTTGGCTGGAGGAGGAGAGCTCACTCCGCCTTAACAACATCTTTATTTCATAGGTCAAGTTACACAATGCCTCGAGGTGTTTTTCCTACATTTCATGATTTCAGTTTTAGATCATTACTCTTATTGATTACATATTTTATCATTCTTTTCATATATCCTTACTATGAGATGGAATGAGCTGGAACACAAACACCCACGTGTAAGGCTTTATTGAAGGTTGGAAGAAAAAGAGGAGAGAGAGCAAAAGAGTGTGTGTTGCCAAGGAAGGATTTTTATACACATTAAAGAGGATGGGGTTGAGAGTAGTGGAGGTAGGTGGTGGGTTGACTAGGGATGACGTGCTGGTAGGGAGAGAGGAAGTTCAGGTAAGTTGGAAGAGAGGTTCTGGGAAGGAAAGCTAAAACTTGGCAAGCTGCCATTTTATTAAGCATGTGGATAAGATATTCTATCATTCCAGCCTTTTGTTGTTATGTGTCAAGAACTGGCCTCCACATGAGAGTTTGCTTCACGAAATAGGGGGATCTGGCGGTGACAGAGATAGAAAAAGAGTACACACAAAGACGCAATGAGAGAAACAAATAGACACCCCAAAAATACAGTGGATGCGAAACTGGCATCAGATAGATCCTGCATTTAAACATCTTGGCTATACATGCAGTTTGCACACCTTGCCAACTGCAATGTCTGCCCATACGGCATGCCCTGCAAGCCGTAATGCATGCCCTGCAAGCCGTAATGCATGCAGGCTTCGGTCTGCGCCTCCGTTTTATTTCGGGGAGGAGCTTTACACAAAGGGAAGAGGAGATTATTAAGACTGGATACAGAAGTGAAATGTGATTAATCGTTCAAAACAAGGCACAATGATTCATAGGCACAAATTCTAAAACATACATCACCAATTGTCTTGATAATCTAACATCCTTAATTTTCCAGAAATCCAAGCAAATTTATATAGTATTCTTTAGGTTCGAATCCCAAGGCAGCAACTCTGTTTCTCCAGGCTAATTAACATACCTATAGCACCTAATCTCGAAGGGGAAAAGGTGAAAAGGATTGGGAGGAGTCTCGTTGTGTCAGCTGCCTGACCCAGGCTTGCAGGAGGAAGAAAGATGCCTAGGTCAATGGTCTGCACCTGGGGACGACCTGAGAAGGCTGACACTATTATTCTTTGGACAAAACCCCGTAATTCGCCAATCTACTCTGAGTTAATTCCTTGGGCAGCCTGTCTCCAGAGCTTCCCCAGCAAACTTGCCTTTGGAACTTTTTACAGTCTTGGCTTTAGAAGCGGTTTTTGCTTTAATATTTGTCCATGGGTATCAAGGGCTCATGTATTAAGTTAATATCAAACATAACTGAATAATTTGATAAAGAACAGTTTGGACGACCTTGCCCGGTGGCCAGAGTTTGTTCCTCAGAGAGATTTGTTCCCAGAACCTTATGCATTGCCAATACAGTGGAGACATTGAGAGAGGGACATAAGAAACCATTTTCTCAGAAGCTACAATTACTGGAGTTCGAAG